TTAACCATACTTTAGTTTCGGTGTCCTAACCCTTGCTGATTTCATTTGTGCAGCTATACAAAATACTTTCTTTAGATCGGGCAAGTTCATTGATAATAGAAATTCACCGCTCACAATTCTAGAGCCTAGGAAGTACAAGATGAAGACACAGGTAGATTTTCTGTCTGGTGAGAGTTCATTATGTTCAAGATGGAGTCTTGTTGCTGTGACTTCACATGGTGGGTAGAAGACAGAAAAAAAAAAAAGGAAGAATGTTGTGTCCCCACAGAACAGAAGAGCTGGAAGGGCAAACAAAACCTTTTGTAGGACTTACTAATTTAAGCCATGAAGATGCAGTACTCATGACATAATCACTTCTCAAAGACTCCCCCTTTAGATTATTTATTTATATAATGTGTATGAGTGTTTTGTCCAAATGTATATACGTACATCACATATATTCCTGGTGTCCTAGGATGTCAGAGGAGGGTGGCTTCCTGGAATTGAGGTTGTGGGTAGCTGTGAGCCATCATGCAGGTGGTGGGAATCAAATTCAGATCCTCTGGAAGAGCAACAGGTGCTCTAACCACTGATCATCTCTCTAGTCCTGAGACCCTCCTTCTTAAGCCCATCACATTTGACGCAAGTTACAATATTTGAATTTTGGAGGAACATACTCATTTAAGCTGTTGGAACCCAATTTTCTTCCTGGGAGAGATAATTTTATTGGACCAAATATCTGTCTGTGGTCCAGTCAGCTATGGCAGAAGGTCAGGGCGTAGGGTGATGATTAGATTCTGTAGAAGCAGAGATGGATTGGTTTTCAGTAGAGGGCTTACGTATCAGTACTCCCATGCGGGTTACCACCCACGTCCCACGTGGTGGTCCCTGCACTTTCAATGTTGGCTTTAGCACCATGCCTAGCAATAAATATACTGGGCCAAGTGTCATGAAGATGCCTTCCTTGGCTAACATGTACTCGTCTCCTTCTACAACACCATCTCTCCTCCTTTTGCCGGCACCTGGTGCTCTAGACCCCAGAGAGGCCAAAATAGAAGTCTTCAGTGCTGCAAAGTGAGTATTACAAATGCTTACCTAGATGTACCCCTGGGAGAGTAGTCATTGGGAATTTTCCATCTCACAGAGAAAACAGGAAATAAGAGGCATTTCCTCTCTGTGTAGTTTGAAAGAAAATGGTCCCCAATGGAAGTGGCACTATTAGGAGGTGTGGCCTTGTTGGATAGGTGTGGCCTTGTTGGAGGAAGTGTGTCACTGTGGAGGTGGGCTTTGAGGTCTCTTTTGCTCAAGCTTTGCTTAGTGTGGCAGTCTACTTCCTGTTGCCTGCATATCAACATGTAGCAGCTACCTCTCCAGCACTATGTCTACCTGCATGATGCCATATTCTGCCGTGATGATAATGGACTGAACTTCTGAACTCTAAGCCACCACAATGAGATGTTTTCTTTTTAGGAGTTGCTGTGTTCAATGTGTCTCTTTGAAGCAAAAAAAAAAAAAACCCTAATTAAGACACTCTCCCTCCCATCTGGTATTGTGAAGTTAATCTAGTGATTTACATATGTGTACTTGCAGAAACTTGAGAAACAATATTAAATTTATTGATCTCACCACAGAGAAAAGGAACATGAAACAACTCTGAACAAGAAGCTAACTGGTTTAACTAAAGGATGATGAGGCTGAAGGAAATACTGTTCTTTCATATATATTATTTCATTTTCTTTTTGATTTGGTCACTTGGGGTGCAATACATTGAAATGGGGTGGTTTTGAACACTACTCTTCAGAAATACTTGAGTGTCATGCACAAGCCTGTATCTCTTAAAATCATGGGGCAGTGTTAACAGTGCAAGTTAGTTGTCCTCCCATGGGAAGAGTTGGCTGCAACTTCCCACTTGGTACCAGGCCAGCCTCCAAACTGGCATGAGAAACCTTTCCCCTGGCCTTATTTTGTTGACCATCACTCTTCCTGTAAAATCTCAGAAACTGTAGGTTATGGTTCATATTCTTGGTGGTTTAGTGCGTCATCATTAGACTGGCTTTCTGAGTGTCTGAGCAAGGCTCTTGAGCATTGTGTAATTTTAAGAGGATCCTTTCGGAGAAAACCAGAGGTTGTTTTGAGGGGGAAATGACCCATGACTGAGTATTAGCCCTGTTAAGCAATATACAAGAAAGGCAATAGAATGTCCAGTGTGATAAAAGACAGGATTGCTCAGACCTAATGACGCCTGTTTCTGCAGCCTGCCCCCATTTCCTGTGCCCTGATTAATCCTTCAGTGAATTGACGGCTTCTCTCACTTCTCCTCGTGGAAACGGCTCTGTGTTCATGGTTGTCTCACTTATTTGCAATTTGCGGACGATTGCTTTCCCTCCGTCTACTTCAAGCTCAAGTAGACAGAACTACCTTAATGCAACCTAATAGGACCTTAAGATAAAACAAGTCTGGATGTTATTAAGTTACTGCTAAAAACTTAATAAACTGTAGACGGCAGAAATAATACATCTAAATGCTTTAAGGCATGTATTAATACAACATACTGTAGTATCTACAGGCTTGCTTACACTCAGTGCAGAAGCCCACAGGAAGTATCATCATTTATCGCTAACCCCCACAACCCGGGACTTCAAAAAATGGCAACCCCACTTCTCTTTAGCCTTTGTCTTATTTTGGGGTTTAGCACAGAGTTCACCACTCTGTTTAGTCTCTGTTTATGAGGTAGGGTCTCCTGTAAGTCAGGCTAGCCTCAAACTCACTAAGTACCTGAGGGTGACCTTGAACTCCTGATCTTCCTGCCTAGAGTGCTGGAATAGCCGGCATCACCACATCCAGTTAATGTTGTGCGAGGCACAGAGCAAGCATGCTTCCATCTGAGCTACTACTTCCCCAGCACCGCTGCTCTGAGACTCCAGTAACTCTCCTCTATTCTTACTCACCAGTTACATTCTCTACAGAATACAGAAAAGCCTTTCCAGCTCTCTTTTACATCTGCAGGTTCAAGGTTTAGAACAAAAGCTAGCGCATAGTAGGCACTCCATAAGTGACATTAGTGGACATTCAAGTTCCTGGGACTCACAGTCTCTCAAACTGGCTCCTAACTAGTGTGCCACCTGCTTTCTGAAGTCCTTTTTAATGTGTGACCCTTCTGGCTCTCCTGAACATGTTCTTTGCTTGGGCTGATACAGGTAGCTGCTAACGAGATCATCTGGGCGAAGGGTTTGCTGGGAAAGTGGGAGGCAACCTCCGGGAACTGTTCCATTTTCCAAAGACATTCCCCTGATTGCCCTGGCTAGTTTTTCTTTGTTTGTTTGTTTGTTTTGTCAACCTGGCCCAAGCTCAAGTTATTTGGGGAGAGGGAACTTCAACTGAAAAAAAAATGCCTCTATCAGGTTGGTCTCTGGGCAAGTCTGCAGTGCATTTTCTTGGTTTCCGACTGATATGGCAGGGGCCAGCCCACTGTGGGTGGTGCCACTGCCCTGGCCAGCAGGGCACAACGAAGGTCTAGCCCACGGGAACCTGGAATGATGGGACAAGAGGCAGGAGAAATTGACAACAAGACAACATGGCTGATCAAGCTGCAAGATTTTATTTCCCTTAGGCGTGTTATACAGTGGTTAACACAGGTAGGGTGGAGTAATCAAAGGAGAGGGGTCGTTGTTGGCAAGGTGAAAGTGTTGAAGAAGGAGGGGATATTAGGTGGTCTAATTGTGGAATGCTTCCTTTTTGCCATCAGCTATTCCAGTGAGCCCAAGTTCTACTCTTTTGAAGGCTGGGGAGGGAAAGAGGGTTGAGAGGGACTAAAGGTAGCTATTCTTTTAACATGATGTGCTGTTCTTAAAAAAGACTGACAACATTTACAAGAGGTCCTAAATAACAATGATCACTCCCGACATGCCACCCTTGGTCCTGGACTGTATAAGAAAGCAGGCTGAGCACAGCACGAGGAGCAAGCCAGTGAGCAGCTCAGCTCCGTGGTTCAGCTTTAGTTCCTGCCTCCGGGTTCCTGCCTGGAGCTCCTGCCCTGGCTTCTGTTGAGGACAGACTGTCACGTGGAGGTGGAAGCCACATAAACCCTCTCCTTCCCAGGTTGCTTTGGGTCATGGTGTTTATCATAGCCATAGAGAACAGACTAAAACACCCACTTTGACAAACTATGAGAAAATCAAGTTTTGCTACAGACAAAACTGCTCAAAACATTCCAGCAAATACCCAGAACCAGTCATGGTGGATGGTGAGCAGTTAGAGCCACAGTTAACAGCAGGGTATAGAGAAGAGCTGTTCTGGACTAGCGTGTTTCAACAGCCTGGCTTTGAACCTTAGACATCTTAGTTATCTGTTACTGGTCACTGTCATGGTTACCAGGTCTTCTTGCCTACATCCCATCTCCTCTACTACCTCCCTTGGCTTCTAATGCTCCACTCTATCTCACAGCATTTATAGGCCCACCTGCAGCTCAGTTGCCTGTTTGAACTTATCATCACTCATGGAATGATCATTTCTTGGGGCAGAGACCTTGTCTCATTTTTTTTTTTTGTTCTCTCTCCACCCAACATAGTGACTTCTCTTTGTAGTTGAATTAAAACATGTATGGCTGGCTTTTATGTCTTTCTAAGCAGCTGCCTTAGTTAGGGTTTCTATTGCTGTGGAGAGACACCATGACCACAGCAACTCTTATAAAGGAAGACATTCACTTGTGGTGGCTGCCTTATAGTTTATAGGTTTAGTCCATTATTGTCATGGTGGGAATAATGGCAGCATGCAGGCAGACATCGTGCTGGAGAAGGAGCTGAGAGATTTTACATCTTGACTCAGAGACAACAAGAAGCAGTCTGTCTCACTGGGTATGGCTTGAGCATATATGAGACCTCAAAGCCCGCCCCTACAGTGACACACTTCCTCCAACATGGCCACACCTATTCCAACAAGGCCACACCTCCTAATAGTGCCACTCCCTTTGGGAGGCCATGTGCTTATTTAGAGAAAAGCCATTGAGCTGTCAAATGTAATTACTAAATATAATGGAGATACTTGTAGGGATGGTAAGCAGTGTTTTGGGGTCCTGATTTTGAGATTGTTCAAGAGCTCTCATATCGAAAGCCAAGCCTGAGGACCCAAATCATTATTTCTTCTATAGAAAAGATGCCTGATTTCCCATGGTGCTCGGGCCAATGATGTCACTACCTAAAGGAAGATGATGGAGAGGTGAGGAGTATCTCCCTCTCTTTCTTCCCCCATGGGCACCTAGAAAAAGGATTAAAACTATGGGAAGGAAATCATCACACTGCGTGTCCATAGGACCACTCCTCCAGTGTGAGTTTCTGGTGGGTGGGGGAAGCTAAGTGGCATCAGAGCAAGCCAGAAGCAAGAATTTTATACATACCTTCCATCATCTGATGGCTCTCCACAAGCTTGCAGTCTCTATCAGGACAGGAGGTGGCCATGCTTTAAAAGATAAGTGGTCCCTGAGATAGAGAAGCAGGGAGAAGACCTGCTGGTATCCTAGGCATTCTATACCCCCCACCGGGTGCTATGTAGGGGTCTCAGGTTCTAGGAAGCCCCTTGGGAAACACAGATGGCAGCGAAGGTGCAAACTAGTGGGCTTGGCATAGGGACTCCACAGTGATGGATAGAGTGGCCTTACCATGAAGAGAAATGAAGTTGAGACTGGGGTTTGGGAGCCAGCAAGGAGGTCCCTGGATCCTGCTTGAATTCAAAGTCCACTGTGGAAAACAGAAAACAGCCATCAGTCCTTGAAGGCCTGCACAGGAGTTCTCATGCACACAGCCACCATCTTGGACTGGAGCAGGATGAGAGGAGAGAAAAGGACTCTGAATGCTGGCCCCAGTGAGCCTCTCTAACCCAGAAGTGACTGAACTCCTGGTGAATACTGTTGTGATTTGAGCATGGCATGGCATTCTTGTTTTTCAGGCCCAGACTCCAGACTCTTGTGATACTCTCTTGAAGGCTATGGAGCCTTTAGGATGTGGGTCCCTGATGGCAGGAGTAAAATCAGGAGAGGTGAGCGTTGATTGAAGGTTAAATTTGCCCCTGGTTCTATCATGGTCTTGGCCTCCAGTCTGCATCTTTAAGAGGAGTCTCTGCTACACTCTTGATGCCCTGAATTTTACTATAATTTCTGCACATGGTGAGTCAAAACTCCTATGAATTGTGATCCAAATAACCATTCTTCCCTTACATTGTTTCTGCAAGGCATCAGTCACCGAGATGCAAGCATAACTAATACAGCCATGAAGGGGATGCTGTCTTTACTCTTGTTTCACAAGAGAGTGGGACTTACAAGAAAGTCTGGCTCAGTTGCAGCACCACTACCCCCCAAGTGCCTCTCTGAGCACTTGTATATAAATTATATGCAACTGAATTATACATATTTTCAAGGTGCACATATTTATTTGCTTTCTTATCTAGAGTTTCCTTAAACTATGTTCTAACTACCAATGACAAAAAAATGTGGGATATCTTTAGAGTGTTTTGTAATTATTTTAAATTGTTATCTTTGGGACTGGGAGATGATTACAGTGCCAGAGCTTGCTGCACAAGCCTGATTTCAGATCCTTGGAACCCAGGTGGGTAGGTATGGCAGTCTGCCTGTAACTCCCCAGAGAAGGTTGATTGGTGATCCTAGCTGTATCAGTGAGCTCTGAGTTTGATTAAGAGACCCTGATTCAATGAAAAGGTAAAGAGTGATGGTGGATCATTTCTGATATTAACCTTGGACCTACACTTGTACATAGTCACATACTACACTATTGTTGGCTTTTTCTTTGAGCTGCCAACCAGCTCCCAAATAAAGACATGGAGACTTATTATTAATTATGAATGCTCGGCCTTAACTTAAGCTTGTCCCACTAGCTTATTTAACTTAATTTAACCTGTTTCTCTTCATCTACGTTTTGCCTCTGGGATTTTCACCTTCCTTTCATTCTGTATGTCCTACTTTCCTGCTTCAGAGCCTGGCTAGTTGGTCTCTGGTATCTCCTTAGCATCTTTTTCTTTCTTCCCCCAGTCTAAATTTCTCCTCCTCCTTATGCTTCCTGCCCAGAAGTTCTGCCTATACCTTCTCCTCCCTCACTGCTGGCCATTAAGCTTTTTATTAGACCAATCAGGTGCAGTCAAGGTCAGGCATCTTTACATAATTAAACAAATGCAACACATCTTTGCATAAACAAATATTCCACAGCACTACACACACAGCCATATACCACACACACACACATACACACACACACACACACACACACACACACACACACACACACACAGGAAAATGGAGGGTAAAGGAAGTATCTAACAAATGCATATGACTCCACAGCTGAGACAGTCCTTCAGCACGTACCGGTGTACTGGGAAACGAGCGCATCTGTCTACCTGGCTTGTGCAAAGTGTCCTCATATGTACTATGCTACATCCCTTCAGGGCTGTTTTCCAGCACCATGCCATTCCCTGTGAGCTGCAGCAAGATGGGAGAACAAAAGGAAGACCAAAGGGCGTGGGAAAGGAGACTGCTCAGATAAAAGGGCAGCTTGGTAAATATGCCTATTCATCACTATACCGACCTCCGCCTCCATCCTATTGATTTTCCTGTTCTGCTGTGTGTGCCTCTATGTCTAAAGCAGCGAGTGTACTCGTGAATCATTTCCAGTGGGTGACTTTCAGTCAAACTTCCTGTTACCTCATTCTGCCCTCTGTACCCCATTTTTCTAGCACTGAGTGTGCTGTAGAGAATGACTGTCTGTAGCTCTCTAGCCATTTTTATCTGTAACCCCCCCAGACTGTGAGCCTTGGCTTGGCCTTGACAAGATACTTGTCTCCGCATCCTTGAGCTGTTTCCTTCACGGGGAATGAGAAAGGGATATATGAATGAGATCAGACAGAGGTGGTGCCCGTAGCTTTTACAACACTGTAGATGTGATCACGGAAAGGTTAAAAGGACTAGCAGTCTGCTGTTGAAGAGATTCATTGGTATCTGTCTGCTAGCCTAGGAAGCAGGTCTAGGGCAACCTAGAGATGCTGAGACAGGCTGGGATCTTGCAAAACTGAGGGCTCAGCCCAGAATTACTCCTGATCAAGAGGAGCCCCAAGAATGAAGGACAAAGCAAGAGGGATCAAAGCATGAGTCGCTTCCACCTAACTGATAAAACTTGGGGAGGGCTGCGAGCATGAAGGAAGGATGGTGGAGGCAGAGGCGGAGATCCTGTGAGTCTAGAAGGAAAGTGGTCATGTTCAGGAGGGTCAGGGCGTTGGTGAGAATCCCTTGAGAGAAAAGTATCGAGAATGGACTCGGGGAGTAGCAGACAGGGTGAAGATCCTCCCCTGGAAGTTTCCTTAGCTTAGACCAGCTCTTCTAGTGACAGGGGAATTGAGGAAAGAATTGAACTGAGGTAACCACCCTCTTCAATCTGGGGCCTTGGAGAGCCTCAAACGTAGAATGCAGTTCTAAAAAGCCAGCAGTGGTCTCAGAGGGCTCCTGTGCACTCTTGTGAGTGTGTACACATGCACACACAGTGCACACACACACACCCCTCCCAAGAAACACAAGAACTCACACAATACCAAGGGCAGGGCAAGTGTGTTGCTGACAAAGAGATTCTCATTCAAGAGTTCTGTTGCACAGCCTCTGAAGAGGGAGAAATGCATGTCCTTTGGGAAATGTGTTTATTTTAATCAATCAATTAATGGAAGAAAGTACCAGGCCTAATGTGAAAACTTACTTAAGAGGCTTCTTGTTGTCTGGGACCACCAGTCTCATTCTCAAACTCTTTGTGAGTTTTTGACACCATCATCAGAGACGGTACAGAGCACAGATTAAGCCTTCAGGAGCAAAAGAGAACATGCAAGGCAGCTAGGAGACAGTGGATGTGCTGGCAAAGGAACCAAAGGAGTACACAGGGGGCACAGCTACCTGGGGAGGCGAGGTGCAGGCCACCCAGCGTCTCCAGGTTGGGCATGGGGTGGGGGAAGCAGGCTGGGAACCTCACGGTAACATGGATGCATGGGAACCTCACAGTAACATGGATGCATGGGAACCTCACGGTAACATGGATGCATCGGTAAAGAGGCTGGGAACCTCATGGTAACATGGATGCATGGGAACCTCACGGTAACATGGATGCATGGGAACCTCACGGTAACATGGATGCATGGGAACCTCACGGTAACATGGATGCATGGGAACCTCACGGTAACATGGATGCATCGGTAAAGAGGCTGGGAACCTCATGGTAACATGGATGCATGGGAACCTCATGGTAACATGGATGCATGGGAACCTCACGGTAACATGGATGCATGGGAACCTCACGGTAACATGGATGCATGGGAACCTCACAGTAACATGGATGCATGGGAACCTCATGGTAACATGGATGCATGGGAACCTCATGGTAACATGGATGCATGGGAACCTCACGGTAGCATGGATGCATCGGCAAAGCCACATTGCTGGGAGGAAGGGAGAGAATCGGAATGTACTAAGGGGACACAATCTTTTACAGAAAGATAAAAACACACTGCAGGAAAATACAACCATATGCTTTGCAGGAAATGTAGAAAAAGATAACCATTCACTGTGTGATCGCTCAGGAAAGTGGGGAAGGAGAATGAGTGAGGCGTGTGGAGAAAAAAGCAAATGGATAAAGAATACAACTTCAGAGACAGAAGGGGTCCAAAAGCACGGTGTGGGGGTGGCACTCAGGTCCTGAGAGTCAAGAAAAGGTCCAATGAGATTAATGCTCTGGGCTCTGCTCCTGCTTCCTTGAGCCCTCTGACCATCCAGGGAAGAAATCTGTACCTGCCTGATGAGTGAGCATGGTGGGTGAGGGGCCAGAGGGCTCGGATGCCTCTCGGATCCATGCTTTCCCAGGGAATTTGGTTTGGAACTTCAGGGATTTGAGGGGATGGTTAGGAGCGCAGTACACAGAGCCATAGAAGCAATCAAAAAGGGAAGGATGTAGGGGGTGGAAGGGGGAGGGAAGAAGAGGGGAGGAGAGGAGTACACTGGAGAACAGCTACCTGGGAAGGTGAGGTGCAGGTCACCCAGAGTGGCACCACAGTTGGGCATGAGGCGGGGAGAAGCAGGCTGGGAACATCACAGTAACATGATGCATTAGAAAAGTCATATTGCTGGGAGGAAGAGGGAGAATGGGAATGAACGAGGGGAGGGGAAGAGAGGGGAGAGGGGGAGAGGGGAGAGGATGAGAGGGGAGAGGAGGAGAGGGGAGAGGATGAGAGGGGAGAGGAGGAGAGGGAGAGGAGGAGAGGGAGAGGAGGAGAGGGGAGGGAGAGAAAGCTACTATCCATAGAAAGGACACCAGCCAAGGCTAAGGAACCTTCTCATGCAGAAAGAAATGTCATCCTCTGAGAAAGGAGGTGACTCCCCAGCAAGCTCTCATTGCCAGTTTGCAGATAAATGAACTGACACTCAGAGAGGTTACACAATTTGTCCAAGATCATACAACTACTAACAGTCAGACAAAGATTTAATTCTAAATGTTATCACGTGTTGGTAGTGCATATGTGAAATCCCAGCACTCGGGAGGCTGGGACACTAGTATTGTCACAGGTTTGAAGCCAGCCTGGGCTACATATTGAGAGCCAGGACACCCAGGAGTGCATGCATGGCAAGACAACCCTGAACTCACCACTGTGTGTGTGCATCTGCGCACCACATGTGCAGTGCCTGAGGAGGCCGTAAGAGGGCGTCGAATCCCTTGAAACTGGAGTTACAGACATTTGTGAGCCACCACGTGTGCTAAGAATTGAACCTGGGACCTCTGGAACAACAACAGCCAGTGCTCTTAATCACTAAGCCATTGGTCTGAAAGTAGTTTTAAAAAACACTTTGAAAAGTGTGTGTGTGTGTGTGTGTGTGCGTATGCGTGTGTGTGTGTGTGTGTGCATGTACCCACACGCATGTGTAGGCGTGTGTACCACAGACTGCAAGTGGAGAGCAGAGGACAATTCTCCAGGGTTGATTTTCTCTTCCGTGTAGATCTCCGGGATGGAGTAGAACCCATGTCTGCAGGTGTCCTATGCACTGAGGTATCCCACAGACCTCTTAACTGACATTTTTAATGCCAGGATCAGTCTGGGTGCCACATATGCACATTTACTGTCCATCCTCCCCCCAGCAATAATTGTATAGTGAAACAAGTTCTTCTGTTGAGAATGCCACTGCGGGGGGCTTTGGGCACGGGGTGGGGGGGCTGTAGCCGGCACTGCCACAGGGTTCCTTGTGTAAAACTAAGTATTGGACAGGAGGGGATGGGAGAGGTGTTGAAGGGTGGGGAGAATGGGATCGTTTCTCAGCGTGTAATGTGACTTCAGAAATGGCCGCTGAAGACGGGCCTGCCTGGAGAAACGCTCTGCCGTAGACATGGCCTCGACGGCAGTTTCGTCAGACAGAAGACCAAGAGAAGCAACAGAGCATCATCCAGCTGTTCTGATGTGCTGACTCTGCTCAAAGCGCCTCTGGTGGGACCCACCTTGGTAGCGGGGCCCACAGCGTCTCAAGGCTGGAGGGCACTGAGGGGTCAGCAGAAAGGCCTGCAGGCTGCACAAGGTCATCTCCACTGACTCAGAGACTCGTGGAGGGAGGGGGCATGTCATATCAATGCTTCCCTCAGACCTGGATCCTTCCCATTCTTCCTCTGGCGGTGTTTCTGTTCTTTCTGGGCAATAATTGGTTCTCAGAAGAAGATGAGGGGCAGAAAGGCCAGGAGGAGACCCTTCCTGGAGCTGAAGCATATTCTGTGTCTCTCACCCTCCCACGCTTCAAAAATCCTGGTCAGCTTATTCTGCAAAGAGAGATCCCCCCCTCCCCACCGCCCTCGCTTCCGCCCCCAGGCAAGCACCACAGGGCGTCCCACAGCAGGAGGACCAAGCTCATCTACTAAGGCAGAAACATCCTAGAACACAAAAGAGGCTGCACACCCTCCCTTAAATCTTCGGGAGATTTAATCACAGTCATTAAGAGGGCTTGTTCCCTTTGGAGTGCCTTTGCCTCAGTGATTCAGGAGAAGAGGGGCATAGAATTAATCCTTCCACCAGGCAGATGTTCCCCACTGGCACACAGAGGGGGTGAGATAACTACTGGCCCACACCGTTTACACAACCACTGTTCACTGACCCCTGAAGGCTGTCCGCAGTCTTCTTTCTGGAGTTTCGGAGTTTGGTTGGAAAGCTAAATTCAAATATTCCTGGGAGGGATAGCTAGATATTGAGACATTTTAATTGTTTTCTAGCTTCCTTTCCTCTTTAACAGAAGGGAATGAGATTCAGACGACTAAGGCAGGGGAGAAAGAAAGAAGGAAGAAGGTTCCCCCGAGTGAAGGGAAGGGAGGAATCTAGGGAGAGGCTGGGGCACAGAAGGCAGACCCAGCCTGCCTCATGCCTGACCTGGAGCAGCAGGTCCTTGGGTGAAGCCCCAACACTACCTGGGATCCAGTTAGACTTGGACATGCTATGACTCCATCCCAGACTCAATCAGCCAGAAGCTCCAGGGGTGGGCCCAGAAGTCGGTTTTAACAAGCCCCAAAGGTGGCCGTGGCACTGGAGACAGCTGGCTTTCAGCCTGTCAGCTGACGGGCATCACTTGACCAGGCTCCCTTCTCTCATTTGCCCCTCAGTCCTTGGTTCTTTAGGAAGGAGTCATGAGAAGCCACCGTGGGATGTGGCTTAGGAGAGTAACCTGCAAGCTGGTAGCTCCGGCGGCAGTGGGATTCTGACACAGACAGGGCTGCCGTTGGCCAGAGTGACAAAAAAACAACTTGGGATTGGAGCAGGGTGAGTTGATAATGAAGTTCCCCGGGGGGCCTGTGAGCATCTGAGATGTTCAAGAAACACTGGGCTGAATGGGAAGACAGAAACACAGAGGCAGAAGCCTGCCAAAGAGGGTTAAGTGTTGTTAACATGTTTCGGTTTATCCAGTAAGCATACACAGACCATGACTCAACGATCCCACGTGGAGTTTATTGGTAGACAGGGAAGGAAAAGGGGGGTGAGAGGTAACCAACCCATGCAGAGCAGAGAGAGAGATAAGATATGAGAGAGAGAGAGAGAGAGAGAGAGAGAGAGAGAGAGAGAGAGAGGGAGGGAGGGAGGGAGGGAGGGAGGGAGGGAGGGGGAGGGAGGGAGGGAAGGAGGGAGAGACGGAGAGTCAGAGAGACAGAGAGAGATGAGAGTAAAAGAGGGTAAAAGAGTAAGAGAGTAAGAGAGTGTAAGCAGGCAGGGGTCAGTCCTTTAAAGGGGTCCTTTGCACCTGCGTGGTTCTCACAGAACTCTGGACTGGCCAGAGTGCTGCCTGAGTGCATCCTGCCAGGTAACAGGGCAGGCCAGCATAACGCCTGAACCTTTCATTCCCACCTTTATTTATGATTAAAAACAGATGGGGGTGTTAGACGTGGCAGGTTCAGGATCAAGGACGTTGAATTCTTAAGACTGCTTCCTGCTGACCTGGGGGCATCGAACATCTTTGGGGGAACCTGAGAAAGTTGGGGTGTTGCCACGCTGGTTGTTCTATTGTAGTCCAGGCTGTATGGGACTGTCTGGTGCCTCTGTAGATCTGGCAAGATGTTAGCAGAGAAGAGAACAAAGTTAGGTTTAAATTTTTCTTTCTTAGGTCCTGGTATTTGAGGGGAAGATTGTAAGATGAGGGAGGGGTTCCCCAGGGGACCCAAGATGAGGGAAGGGAGTCCCAGGATCAGGGAGAAGTTGAATAATATCTGGAGTGAATCTGACCTGTTTGGATGGGTCCAATTTGGCTTCCCGGAACTTACAAGAATCCTTTGAGTTTGTGAAAACATAAGTATTAGACATATCAGCAGCATATTTGTGTTAGAAAAGACTTGGCTGAAAGCATTAACATTTTAAAAACTGACAGATATTTTAGCACAATGAAAAGCACCTTAATTTTGAGCTTATAGTCATGATTATATAGTGGTATAGTTGTTTAGCACTCTGTTGGAGTTAGATTAGTAGCTTATCTAAACTTTACTGATTAATGTTAAGTATAATGAAAGAGAAACCTGGAACATGCTTTTTTTTAAATATCTCAACTTACTTTATTACATTACCATCTTACATAGCTAAGCCTTAAAATACCTGTTCCCGAAATCTGTTTTATGACAGAGCTTTGCCTTGTCTGCTACTTTAAGGTGGCAAAGCTACCAGCCGTCAAAAGCATCAGAGTTCTTGAGAAGGATAAGATTTTACCTGAGACTGGAGAATGAGAGACTTAGTAGCTGACTGCATGGACAGCCACCCCCAAGGTCCTCCATAGTTGTTGAAGTCAGAGGCTCCAAGAACACCTGCCTTTTGTTGATAGTGAGACCTGTGTATTGGGGACTTTTTAGGAAGACTTTCCTACCGTTGACCCGATCAACATGGAGAAAGTCGATTCCAGTCTCCTCTTGTCCAGTGAAGAGTCCTTTGAAGCAGTTGAGGTGAAGGGCAGGGTTGCTCAGTGGCCAGCATTGCCACTTTTGTGGGCAGAGTTTCTTGAGTGTCCACCAGTCTTCTTGGAGGAAATGGGGTGGTGCCAGCAGCTGGCCTGTCTCTGTTATAAAAAGCTTTTAAATAAAACATTTAAATGCCATATTCTCTAGATCTCTGAGTATTTGAATACTGTTTGTCTTAGTATATCTTAGTAGACAAAATTTATCTTTAGTAACTTGCCTTAAGCACATAGATGGCTAGAGAACAGAAGTAATAGAAGCTTTACCTTTGTAACCAGCTTACAGGAAGGACTGGGTATTATATTTTGTTAATGTGAAATAGACCCTTATAATTTTAAATGTTTATATCATTTAGTAGATATAATTTAGAAATATTTGATATTTAGTATAGTTGAATTAAAGTTACTGTATTTTTTACACATACATATAGATACATTAAACAGGATTGGGTAAAAGTGTTTGACCCACACTTGTAGTAAACAGACTTAAAGAGACAGTCAGTGATGAGAAGGAAGATTTGTTGTAGATAGAACAGGGGACCCTGGAAAGGCACAGTATTTCATAAACAAGCTATGTACAACAGGGCCAGTGAAAGATGAAATTAGAGACAAAAATAAAAGCACAAAAGAGACAAAAAGTAAATGAATTATATTATCAGCAGGCTTTGTCAGCAGAAGCTGGCTGGACTGAGTGGGCGTGTAAAGAGCTAGGTCACATGGTAAACAGGGCAGCCTCAGTAAACACGTTTTCAAGCTAGGCCAAATGGTAGGCCGCATGGTTTAGATCGCCAAGATGGCGGCCTCCACAGGCACATTTCCGTCTGCCAGCAGAAGTGGCCTTTTTTTCTCCACAAGCGAGGCAGAAAGATGTGTGACCACCATAGGTCTAAGAAATGAATGAACGGTCAGTGCCAGGGTATAAAACCCGAGAGACTCCTCGTGGGTCTGAGCATTAAAAAAAAAACCGAAAACCTCAAACCTCATTTGTGGGGAAAAAATGAAAAACTCTCAAGAGTGTCCTGAGCAGACACTAACCCAAGCCAGGCCATTGTAAGCTGCTGGCATCTGTATGGAGAAGAAATGCGGTAGAATGAGATTTAGAGGAAGAAAGAATGTTAAAGAGAATGTTTAGGAGAGAGGTAGAGAAAAGCTTGAACATAGGACAACTCCTTCCATCGAACAGATCGCTGGCAGTGACTAGAGAGGTCCCGTAAAATATACTGAGATAAGTGAATCTGGTTGACTTAAGGCATAGAGGAATTTACTCTGTCGGTTTGTTACCCATGAGTCTGGTCTAAAGGAAAATAAAATGGCAGGATCAACTCTTCAGAACTTGTCAGCCCGAGAGTCTAGCAAGGGCAGAAAAGACCACCCGATAAAAGGAACCAGTGTCCGAAAGGCGAAAAGCCACCGGAGACTCAGAAAGGATCCGAAAAAAATTACCAATAGGTCATGCCTGTGGAAAACAAACCAAAAATGATTGTCAGACGATGGGGGTCAACCATGACCTTGAAGGCTGTGGTTGTGTGAGTTCCCCACGTTTCCAAAAACACCATAAGTGGGGCGGACGCTCAACGGTCAGCCCTTACGCTGACTTAATGGGGGTCCTTACCAAATCGCAGCCATTGGTCCGATGTTGCATTCCCCCAAAGATGATCGACGCCCCCAGGTCAGCAGGAAGCAGTCTTAAGAACTCAACGTCCTTGATCCCGAACCTGCCACGTCTAACACCCCCATCTGTTTTTAATCATAAATAAAGGTGGGAATGAAAGGGTCAGGCATTACGCTGGCCTGCCCTGTTACCTGGCAGGATGCACTCAGGCAACACTCTGGCCAGCATAATACCTGAACCATTCATTAAGGGCCAGGGCCTTCAGAGCCAGGCTGGGAGGTACACAGGGAGGAAAGGCAAACCGCTGACTCCCCTTTCTCAGCATTTCCTGTCTTTGGGCCAACCCGCTCAAGATGTGTCTCTGAGGCCAGGTCCTTTCCTAGTTGAGCCCCACATCTCCAAGGGTCTGTGCTTGCTCAGCTGACTCTAGTGGCAGGGGCGGGGGCAGAGGGGGAGGACTGGGGACCTGATGATGACGCCATTTCTCTGTAGCCCCCTTCCCTGCTCCATCATCTCAGCTTGTCAGCATGCCAAGTGCTGTGTTTTGTGTTTCCATTAGAGTGTGAGTTCCAGGAGGAGAGGACTTTGCCCAGCTTTCTTCACCTAAGATTCCAGGACGGTGCCTGCTCTGGCGTATTGGTTACTTTTCTCAGCGCTGTGATACAATATCTGACAAACTGACTTAGAGAGTGGAGCATTTCTTTTGGCCCGTGGTTCAGAGGGAGGTGAGGAAGGCGTGGCTGCTGGGTGGCTGCATCCAGAGTGGTGAACGCCGTACAGTGTGGCTTGTCACGTCTCAGTGGGTCAGGAAGCATGAAGCATTGTTCCTGGGTGAGGAACAGGACCCGGCTGTGACCTTCAAATTCACCTCTTAAAATTCCACAGCTGCTCAAAACAGCTGAGACCAAATGTCCAAACACATGACCTTAGGGACATCTGCATTCACATCATAACATCTAGTAAGTGATCAATACATCCTTCAAGGAAAATGAACGAGTCTTAAATTCATTCCAGCCTCAAACTTTGCTGTATGTATGTGCTATCAACACTAATATAAAAATGATTTCCTTCAAATGTATGAGTGAAAAATGAGTCCTCGGGCCTTCCTTCATCAAGTAGGGCCTTCAGATCCTGCAGACCACAGCTCTGGGCTCCTCCAGAGACCCAAGTCAGGAGGGGTGGGGTGTGACTGAGAACCAGGGCCTCTGTGATGGAGCGATATGTCTCTCTGGGCCACAGCCACGCAGGTGCTTTCGCAAGATGGAAGCATAGCAGAGTTACAGCCGAGTGTCACAACAGTGTCAAAGAACTTGTCTGCCCAGAGCGTGGTACACAGTATGAGCCCAGTAGGGACTGCATGATCTCTGCTAGAATCAAACTCCAGTATGATCCCAAGAAGCAAGGTATTCTGGGAGCTGTCCTTGGCCTCAGAAACTGGCCTCAGCTGCTGTTTCATTACTGCTCATCACCCTGTGCCTCTAGTCACCCCTAGACAAGTGCCTGGTGAATAAACAATATGGAATTGGCTTTCATTGATTTTTTGAGATATTAAATTCTATTTCAGGCTTTATGGCTGAAAGTCACCCTAAAGTGGTGTGGGATGCCCCTCTGTATGCTGTGAATATGTTTTTGTCTGTTTGTTTTTACCATTGGTTAATAAAGAAGCTGATTTGTCCAATAACCAGGCAGAATATAGCTAGGTAGGAAATCCAAACAGATACAGAGAGAAAGAAGGCAGAGTCAGTGAGAGGCCACATAGCTGCCAGAGGTGTAAGATGCCAGAGCACTGTTGGTAAGCCACGGCCAAGTGGCAATACATAGGGTAATAGAAATGGGTTAATTTAAATGTGAGAGCTAGTTAGTAATATGGCTGAGTCATTGGCCAAACAATTATAATTAATATTAAGCCTTAGAGTGATTATTTTATCTGTGGCACGGGGTGGGACACAAAAAGCTTCCAGCTACACTAAAATGTATCTGG